AACCAAATATGCAAGCAAACCAAAGTAGAATGGTCAAAATATAGTAAACTTATTAATTAGAATATTATTTAACCATTAAAATTCAATTTATGAAAAATATTTATAACTACCGAAGTAAGGCAGAACAGAAAATTATATATATCTTATGAATCAACAACTTTTTAAAACTAAAGATATGAAAAAAGACAGAAAGATGTACATCAAAATAATAACAGTAAAATACTACCATCACCACCACCTCTGCAAATCTTGTGCAGGTGCCAGAGAAAATCAACAAAATACAGATAAGTTTATTATGTGTAAACTTAAGAAATAATGCTGTTGTTATGTAAACCTACCTTAAAATGTTACAATATTTGTTTGTAGTTAAAACCATTTTCCTTAAATCTCTTATTGCTACTTCCTTTAAAAAGTAACATAATGCCAAAGACTTGCACGATTCACAGGATATGATTTTTTTTTCTCTAATAATCCTCATAAAGATTAGAAAGTGCTTTAAATGTTATAATAAAGTAAATGTCCTTAATGTTTCCAATTAAAGATGATCTAGCAAATAAAGGTATATTCACGGCAAAGAAAAACATAATAAAAAGTAATCATCAAAATTACAGATGTCCTCAAACTTCATTGAATCCCCACACTTTCTGGACAAACAAACGCATGTGAAAACAAAGAATTAAGCAAAAGTTTCTTTGCAGCTTACTACTTTTCCCATTTTGAGAAGTTAACACATTTGCACTACCTAGTTTTCTAACTATTGATGTTCAAAAACTCAACAGAATATATTAGCAAATAAACAGTATTTAATTATTCTTATTTGAATCCTGGGTAAGTATGCCAACATAGCAACCTCTCCCTGTTACGTGCTAGTTAAAATAGGCTATTTCATCTTTGAAGCGTAAAAGCCTTCCAGAATCTCTTCACAAAAGAGGGATGAGAGTAAAAAGAGATGAAAAAGAAGCAAACAACAATTTAAAGTACACCTGCCTCTGAACAAGGTAGTGTACTTCAGAATGTAACCACAGCTTCTCATACAACACTTCAGCAAGCACAGCTGGATTTTAAAGGGATGCCATATGTTAAAAGACAACTTATTATTAGGAAGACAATATCTGACTCCAATCAAAATATTATCATCATGTGTTCCTTAAACACACACTCGTTCTTCATATGCATAAATATATATGAGGGTGGGACAGCTACTCTTAACCCTGAAACAGGTTCTGCAACACCCTCTGACCCAACCTGTCTGAGACAATGGGTCTGTCTTGGCATGATGTTTAGCTGATGTATTCAAAGCACCAGAGCCTCTGCCCAGCTGCCAATATCCTGCAAAAGGAACTGAGGCGAAGACCAGAAACTGCCCAAGGGCAGGCCTCTGGGGAAGGTGCTTCGGTCCACTGGGAAGAGACACCCGGCCCCTCGCTGCCTGGCCAGAAGACCCAGGGCACCGGCACTGGGCCAAGGCAACTGGCCTGCAGTCCCACAGCGGCAAGGGACAGTAAAAGGACACCCCCACCCAAGCGTTTGCTCAATCCAATCTGGGAAGGCCCAAACTTTGAGGAGCTGGTAGAACAGGGTTTTGCCAAGACAAGCACAAGAGGGTGAGGGAGATGTGAGTGTGATTAGTCAATGCCACCCACCTTCGGCAGCAGCTCTGGGTGTGCCCAGGCCGCGCCTCAGTCATTGCCTGGCTGTGACGAGAAGTTCCTTCAGCGACTGTCACTGGGAACCAGATCTTCCAAAGGAGATATTTCCACCTTAACTTGCCCTACATCGGCCTTGGCATCCAGGCTGAGAACACAGCCTTCTCTCTTGCCACAAACCCACTAATAGACATAATAGACACCATGACATGTGCCAAATTTATATTTACACCCTCACCAGACAAAGGGGTCTCTGTCTTTCCCCAAGCCAAGTTTTTGTTTTTTTAAATTACAGTCAAGAGAGAGAGAGAGAGAGAGAGAGAGAGAGAGAGAGAGAACAGCACACAAGCCCAGCAGGGGTGAGCTGGGGGTCGTTGTTCTGTGGTAGATGGCAGTCTCCCCTCCCAGCCCCTGCAGCCCTCAGTCACCCTGACTGCAGGAAACTGCTCTTAGAGAGCGCAGAGAAGTGACTGACTAAATGCTAAATGACCGGACGTCATATTCCTAATTGTGTGCTCATTTGTCTCCACGATGATGTCAGCTCCTTGGGAGCAAGACCCTACCTTCTCCTTGGTCAGTGATTCCCACGCATCTAGAAGAACAGAATACCCTGTACTCCCTACCACATGACGCTACGGGAAATAGACAAATTACGGGTGAAAACACACCACAATCCTCCCCCACATGCCATTCAGAGAGCTACCAAGATGATCAATCTTAGAGCCATTAGGTAGGGCTCCTAGCAGAATACTACATGGAAACATGTATCTACATACATAAATCAGATAATAATTCCTCCGCTTTTCTCACTCCAACCTATGGCTTTTATCAGCCCCTTTCTTGGCTTTACTCTTCTTTTTAAGGTCTCCGTCTATTTTTTGCCACACAGCTGCTGTTCCCCTCAAAAAGGAGAGGGAGAGACTGACATACCTGGATGTGGGGTTGGGAGGACGAGAAGAGATAAACCAAAGAAATTATACTTATATGCATAGCCCATGGACAGGAGCAATAGGGTGGTGAAGACCTCGGCGGGTGAGTAGGGGCTGGGAGGAGGGGGGTAGGGGGGAGAAATGGGACATATCTGTAATACCATCAATAAAAAATATATTTAAAAATAAAAAAAACTTATGTTCACACAAAACCCTGTATATGAATGTTTATGGCAGTTTTATTCATAATAGCCCAACACTGGAAACAACTCCTATTGTTCTTCAACAGGAGGGGGGGGAAAGGGAGAGAAAGAGAAAAAGAGCAGATCTACTGCCAACCTCCTACCACCACCAATAAGCCTGTTTGTCCCATCCAGAGGTCATGAGCATGGCCCTTCAGATCTGAAGCCACTTCCTTCTGATCATCAGTGTCTCCGTCAGAGGAGCACTCCTGGGCCCCTCCTTGCAGACTGCTCTGTGCTGCTCAAGAGGTCCTTGATTCCTCCTTCACTCTCCTTTTTTTTTAAAATTCCATTTGCTGCTGCAGCCCAGATACCCCAAAGCAGGGCTGCCTGAACGAGTGACCTCTGCATCTTTCTGCACTAACACATCTGAAGGAAACCCCTGGCAGGAGACATGTGTTCATGGGTTAGCAAAGCACACAGCCTCACAGGCAGCAGCACCCACAAGGACTGAGGACAGGGTTCCTCAGCGGACACCAGAACGACTGCAAAACACCTATGTATTCGGGCACTGTGGCTAAGATCCGGATGGAGGGATAAGGAGGCTTCCACCAGTCACACATCACACACACACAGCAGTCCTACAACTTGGGAGAATTTTTATATTTCTAAACTACAGCTGAGAATGACAACAGATTTTTTTAAGGGAAAACAACTTTACTAACCTTGAGGAGATAACCCGGGCAGCTCCCTTCTGTCTAGTGACCTAGGCATTCGGCAAGAAGTAGACACTTCTTCAAGGGGGGAAATAACCACAGGGCCCAGTCAGAGCGGCCCACCTCTCCAGCACCACCAGAGAATAAACACACAAAAACTAAGCCAGAACCCCTGGGCTTCCTCCGTCTCACTCTTCAGTGATTCCAAAACTTCCCTAATATCACCTT